GCGCGCCGCGCTCCGGGGACGCTCGCGCCGGCGGGGGGCTTACCGGCCTCTCCGCCAGGTTGAGTCTCCCAGCTCGTGAGAGAGTCTTCACCGTGGAGGGGGGATGGAAAGGGAGGCCGGTAGGCGAGAGAGGGCATCTTTTGAAATGGAGTCGCCGCGCGCTCCCAGATGTTCTGCGCCCTGCGGGGGTGCTGCCCTGAGGGTTCGGTGCGCACCGGTTGAATGCAGATGGGTGCGATTGCTAAACTGCGGGCTAAACCTTTGCACAGTGTGCTGCGTATCAGTTGGTTTCTGTCTTTTCGGGAAGCGACTTGTGAGATCTGTTTTTAAAGGAAGATCCTGGTTCTTTACCTAACTTTCTGTTGTCTCTCTAAGATTTTTTTGTTCCCACTGATGTGGATTGCAGCGCTTTGAAAACAAGGACGCGATTGTATGCATTAGGAGAGTAAACTCATAAATATTTTCTGTGCAGTTAAAGGGATTTTTTTTTTCCATGCTTCTGAACTATGGTTTCATTAAGTGGCTTTTGTTAGGCAACTCCCCGGTGCCTGGTAGAGTAGTGTGTTTTTTTTTAAATAGTATTTACAGGTACTATTACAATCAGGAAAAGGTTTAAAAGGCAAATTATCTCGTTATTTATTTATCTTTACTAAAGCAGAGTCATATATTCAGACGTAGGTTTCAGTAGTTTAAGAGGATATCAGCACGTGTTAAAACTGGGTATAGTGGTGGTTTTCCACATCACTCTTAGAGTCAGGGTTGTTATCCAGCACCTCGAGTTAGTAAAGTTACTCATGAAAATTTGTTTCTCCAGTTATATAGGTTAATTCTGATACTTGGCTTCGGCTTAGTGTTCTGGAAGGACAGCTCGGGTTCCACAATTATTATTCCTCTTTCCTTGGTATGTATAAGCTTTAAGCTGGATGTAAAATTACTTAATACATTACATAATTTTTTAAAAAGTTGATACAACTCTACGCCAAACATGGCATCTAACGAGCTTGGCGGAAGGTTTGGTTTGAATAAACGGTGCATCTTTGTGCCCATTTCTTCTTTTTTTTTCTTTTTTTAAATATATCTTTATTGATTTCAGAGAGAGGAAAGGAGAGGGAGAGAGAGAGAAACATCAGTGATGAGAAAGTCATTGATCGAGCCCGCAACCCAGGCATGTGCCCTGACCAGGAATCGAACCCTGATCACCTGGATCTTAGGTCGATGCTCAACCGCTGAGCCACTCCTGGCCAGGCTTTGTGCCCATTTCTTGCAAAAAGGAACTTCTCAGATGAGCCAGATTCTTTGTCACTCTGAAAGGAATTGAGATCATTAGGAGACTTCATAGAATCATTCAGGCCAACTGTATATTCATTTGTATCTTTTAATTAATCACTAGCAGTATCCCAGTAGGTTCTTACCATGTTAATAGGTCATTTAAATCCATATTATGGACAGGTGCCAAAAGAGGAATCTAAAAATTATGTGCACACTAACAGTTTTCATCCCTTTGATCCCCCGCCATAGACTTAGCTCTTGAGCCATCTTTGAGTAGTCAGTCGTTTCTTTGAATGCTGCAGGTGAAGCACTCCCTTACCAAGCCTACCACAACCTGGGTTCACCCAAGTTTGGCAGATGCTACATAGAGCCAATAAGCTGAATCAAATTAGTTCATTATTGTTGCATTAAATGTTGTCTCAGTGGCCTAATTTGTGGTCTAAAGGACCTGATTTAATAGCTGGAAGCCATAAGGCTAGGTGTGTGTTTAATCTTTATGAGTGGGAAATTGCAGTAGGTAAGCGCTCTTTTGACCAAATTATATAGATGATGAAGCCAAACTGTATCTTTCTGTCTCACTTAATTGTTCAATTTGCAAGTGTT